AGGCAGTTGGGTCAAAAGGTCTTGATCCAATCAAAATCTTATCAATGCTGGTGTTCCACATGGCTGTATGGTATCACCAACGCTGTTCCTTCTGTGTATCATTGGTATGTTGCATACCAGTAGCATTTCATGCCAGACCATTCCAATATTTCTCGGGATCACGTCATCGAGTACTACAGTACACTTTTGTCTGAAGTCAAGTCGTTGTTAAACAAAATTTCGGATTAGGGACGATTAAATCTTGTCGAGTTTAACCCTAAGAAGACACAGATTTGCACGTTTACCGCTTAAAAGAACCCCTTTGTCGTATCTATTCAATTTCTCGGCACTCCACTTGTTGCCTCAGCTAGCATCGGAATCCTCAGCATCGACAATATGCCTCTATTTTCAGCAGTGGACTTTTGAAAGTCCGTAATGGTAATGGAGTACAAAATCAATAGGCTCCGCACCGGTTATGTTGCTGCCGATTATTAGCAGCTAGTTGTCAACTAGTCTGCCGCTTGTCAGAAGGAAAGCACGTGAGTTGAGTTGGAGATAAAGTTTGAGAGTTACCCCTTAAACCACTAGCATGTTACATTTAAGTTTCATTTAAAAAATTAGTTTTTATTCTAAGACAGTAAAAGTAGAACGCCTAGATATTCAATATTTTAATTAACAACTTTAATTTGTATAATTTATTTTTTTATGTATCGCTATTTAACACAATAAATAGTCCGTAGACATGTTTATATTCAAATCAACACGATGTGTCTAACACGCATGAACAATATTGCGTCGTGAAACTAAATGTTGAAACTGTCTGTCAGCATAATATATAGGAAGATTAATTTTCAGCCGAGCCTAGTCTACTCGATGTTCGAGCGGCGGTACTGAAGCGAGCAATGAACCTGAACTAATGCTTTAACCGACGATAAACATTTTCCCGCCTATGTTCACCAACCCGGTCTCTAATTCAAAATATTGCACAAGGAAAATATAATATACATTTAGATATATATCCATCTGTGTTCATATATTCCAGCCTATCAAATGTCTACTGCTTAAGCATCCCTCAATGATTTTCTCATATTTATTTATTTATTGAAACTTTACTGTTATCAACTAAATAAGTTAAGTAACAATGGGCGGACTTAATGCCTAACAGCATTTTCTGCCAGTCCAACCGTGGTGTAAAAAAATATATAATAAGTATACATATAAACACGAAATATTTACTTAAAATTTATGTTAATATAAACACAAAAACATGTAAAATTTATTTATACGTCATTACACAAATAAATAGATATATACGCATAATAATATATAAACTTTAAATTATATAACATTGAAATGTACACAATATTAAAGGCAAAAAGGAACACTAAAGTTAAAAACTTAACTTATGATACAACCCTACTGCCAGTGGTATTGTGCCAAGAACGCTGACTGCGTTTTTTCACTGAATGGCTGTACTTAGCCTTTGAAGCTGCCCTCTTGTAGCAGCGATAGCCAGTCGCAAATACAGCCCGCCTGGGAACTTCATCGCATGAGGACTCTACGGATCGATGTTCTCCTCCAGTCCCCAGTCGGCTCTATACGAAGTATTTCTGAGAATAGAAGCTGCCAAAGTCTACTTAAAAAGCATCCCACACAAGGGAATAATGTCATAGAGGTCTGGTCTCTTGCCATCGTCTCTAAAATAGAATATTTATATTCTATACAAGACTCTAAAACCGATGGATCATTTAAAGAGACAAAAGCTCTCCGGACGATATCGTATTTCATCGTATTATATTAAAATTGCAAATAATAAATCATCTTACGCTCATACTCATACTCATATTAAGCTCTCTTACGTCGTCAGGCAGGGAATTGCAGAGTAGAAAAGAAAAGGAATTGTTAGTGAATTAGTGAAATATAATGGAATGATATTCTTAATTAAATGAGGAGCAAAAAACCTTATTATAAATGCTTGTTATATTGGGGGTAGTTTGCCATAGTTGTCACCCTTGGCAGGCAGTTCAGTAACCACTGTCATTGCTGCTTAAGTTAAGTTGGAATCAAAAAATTGCTTCACCCCTTTTCACTTTTCAGTTTCCTTTTGTCGCTTCTTATTACTCCCACGGGAAGATATAATGGAATAGTGAATTCTCTTATATCGCCACTACATGAATATCAACACTTTAAACGCTACCCATTCCCCATTAACAATTAAAAATAAGTTTAAAATGCTCAAGCTAGAAGCTAATAGTACAATGGTGGACTTTTGATAATGCATGAAAACTTTTAACTACCAAACTTTTTGTAAAAAAAAAATATTTTCTTTTCTAGCCTCAAACCATCAAATAAAGGTAGACATAGTATTTACGGCTCCAATATGGTGCAACAACTAAGGATTGAGTTGCAGCTTTGTGGGCTGCAGGTTTGAATCTCGGAAAAATTACATAGTTTTATGGCCTACAAATAATAAAAACCATAGTGTGTAAATGTAATATAATATTATGGTATTCTATATATTCTCATATTATCGTATATGTGCAATATAGTTTTTATAAAGGCATTTTAAAAACACAAAATTGCTTGACCTTGACATGTCGAAAGTAAAATACTACCTAATAACGCTTTGCGTTATGAGGCGTGCAATAGAAAGAATGAATGAGGAAAGAGTGACAAAGAAAATTTATGTTGCAGATGTACACGACAGTGTCAGCAAGAAACGCCTTTGACGGAAATTTATCGACCAAATTGACGATAAATTGAAGATGGGCCAAATTAAGGGTACCCTTAACTGACTAGCATGTACTCGTACATATGCGTATATGTATATGGATGTAAAGGAGGCGAATGGCAGTTCGTAGTCTCTGTCTACCGCTCTGAGTGACAAGCGTGAGTGTTTATGTATGTAGTATATTATAAAATAATAAAATATATGAATACAGGAAAAAACAATTAATTAGAATACAAAAATGAATGTACATATTATAATAAATAGGTTAATAGATATAACCATCTCATTTACGCCAGGTGTAAAATATCTAGACTAGAGTAGCACCGTAGGTGGCAGACATTCTGTTATAGCAATCGTCAATATGCATATGCATAGCTTAATAGTTAAAGCAATTCTTATTAAAATGGGAGATATATGATAATGAAGAAAAAACAAATAACCTTAGCAGACTAGTGATTTTAAATGGAATTCCATACTTAATTAAACGCCTAATAATAAAACACTGTACAAATCAACATTCCTCTCTAAAAGTTGGTAAATTGGCTGCATTATAACCGGCTGTCCCGCACTAATTGCGGCTTTAATTTATCAACGAGACGCGAATACAAAATGAGTAGGCCGAGCTTTGATTGATGACTGCCGTTAAGGGTTAACGACTGACCATGAAATTTTTAATTTTTACTAACTACCCGCAATCACTTTTGCACTTTGCATATCATTCTTTTTTCTTTCACTTTGGTATTCTATTTTAATAAAATAAAGTCTGCTATAGTAAAAAAGTAGTTTATAATTATTAATTGTAGGTTTAAACTAGAGTAGGTTTCATTAGTCCGGATCAATAGTATCAATGGGTGTTCCTCAGGGCTCAATTCTTGGCCCATTCCTGTTCTTAGTCTATATTAACGACTTACCTTATCTTGTAGCAAATAATACTATATCGTGATTGTCCCAACCATGATATAGTATTATTTTCTGATGATACCTCTTTAATTTTCAAACTCAATCGACAGTAAATTAATTTTGCCAATGTATATAATGCTCTATCGAAACTAGTACATTGTTTTAACGCTAATAATTTGCTCTTAAATGGCAACGAGACAAAATCTATTAAATTTTTCAATACCTAATGTTAAACATTCAAATACCAATATACTCTTAAATGAAGAAGAGTTGAGTCGTGTGCATACTACTGGTTTTCTCAGTATTACTGTTGACGCGAAGCTTCAATGGGGCCCCCATATATCTAAATTAGCAGGCAAACTTAGTTCTGCAGCATATGCTGTAAGTAAGATTAGAAGTGTAACCAATGTTAAGACAGCTAAATTACATATTTCATTTTAGTTACTTTCGTAGCGTAATGACTTATGGAATCTTACTACAGGGTAATGCGACCGACATTGAATTCATATTTGTTTTGCAAAAGAGAGCCGTACTGGTGACTTAAATTGTAAAGAGTCCCTTAGAGAAAAATTTAAAGAAATAAACATTCAACTTTGGCATACACAACATATTTATGAAAATGTAATGTATGTACATAAACATATAAATAACTTTCATGAAAATAATAATGTTCATACTTTAAACACTAGGAACAAACATAAACCTGTAATATCAGTTACTAGACTTCACAGAATTAGTAATTCATTTATGGGGCAATTTAAACTCTTTTGCAACAATATCCCTGAATATGTCAAAATTTGTCATAAAAAAGTTAAAAGTTTAAAGAAAAATTGTACAAAAATGGTTATTACAATATAAATAAATACAAAAATGAAAATAACCCCTTGGAATGAGGTGATCGCCACCATGCTGGTTCTATAAAAATTCATTAAAAAAATTGTAACAAAATTAGTTTATCGTAAATTCAAATATGTAAAAAAATCCTCGCTAGGTTTCCTGCTGGTCCTTAAAAATAAAATAATATTAATTAAAAATTGACTTTCAATAAGTATTATATAATAATCTATGTTGAATAAAATCATTTATTCCATTTCATGTCATTAAAAGAGTCCCACAAAAATACATATCCTAACTAAAATAATAATAATAGTAAAATAGTAATAAAATAATTCCTTGTAGAGAAGTGACAACCCCATCGTCCTCTGACGTAACGGTTGTGTGACCAAACTGCTACGTCAGCACAGTGAGTCAGCACCTTGCCAAGAGGTGTTAGTGCTAGGCCTCGAAAAAAATAAATGTGCAGAGGTCTGCTTGTGCTTATAGCTTCACCATAAAACGGCGTTGGGTCAGGGCATCTGGGCCACTTAAATAACGCCTACTAATATGGATGATGGAATACAGAAGGACGCGCAAAGGTCCGCTGGATGGAGATCGACAGGGTGCGGCTAGGGCTGGTTCGCGCATGCGAACCGCCAGCCAAACGCAAGGTGCTGCACGACCATCCCACAGCCTTTTGCATCCGTCATCCCCACCAGCTGGCTTTGTGTCGATAAGATTTTCACGAGCCCAGCAATCGGCACCCGTCACTGGTGGAGTACGCTGCATGCGTTGGACAATCCAGATTAGTAACGCATTGCGGGCGTATTTTAGGACGAAAGGGGGAGAAATTGGTAGTTTTGTGTATCGGGCTGGGATGCATCGACTTTTCGCTCAGCTGGAGCCATCTATAACGGACATCGAGCAAAATCTGATAGACCGAGTTCGGTATATCTTGCACTCAAATATATTTGATGTTGCCGAACTCGAACGGCTACGAAGTGAGGCTGTTCCCTCATCAGATGAAAATGCTACGGCTGAGGATGCGGCGCAACAACTTGCAGAGCAGCCGGAAAACGTGGATGCTACGTGAATACACCAGGTGTGGTCGATTTATACGATGGTGGAACAGTCTCCCAGGAACTAGAATTAGAGAAAATATGAAATACGTTGGAAGAGGCGATTGTGGAAACGCGCAGTACGTTCCTAGAAAATCGACCGCGACTTCCCCGCATAGCCCTAAGCAAGCGGAATCGGGCTGTCGTGAGGGCACTAAACCCAATGCTGGTGACCTATTTGGAAGCCAGTCGGACTTTTGCGAGACGGACTTCATTCTTTTTGGCACCGCACTGGCAGTCTGGCGTATTATAGGTGCCAAACTTTCCACGGCTGGACGCGCTACTGAACAAAGTAGCGCTATCCCAGCCTGTAGAAAAAGAATTGAAGAACGTATCACAAAGGCTAGAGCCCTCATCGGCAGACTGATATGCTTCAGGTCAAGTAAAAACAGGCCAAGGATTGTGCGCACTGTCGGGATGGCGTTTGCAGGGACAAATATCAGTATGTTTGAAATATGGTGGGCGTGACTTTTCAAGCGCGCTTATCTTGCATAATCGTGAAATGTGCAGCCTCCGTAATTACTTCCTGACGAGATCGGATGATTCATTCTATAGGGACACTATTTCTTATGATAAAGGGCTTACCTCTCTATCCTTAGCCACAAACAAGGCTCTACGAGCCTTTCGTAGACAAAGTAGCCTCCCTCCACAGGCTACGTTTTGGTAACCTCTTTGAGTAAACCGAGGGTTTTGTCTGCGAAACAGTGCAAAACAGGATCAGGTTATTAAGACCAATAACTATGGGAGATACATCCTAAGGGATGGCACCATCGGATCTGTCGAACTTGTTGCCATTCCGGTGGGTCACTTAGGCATGTCATCTCCGGTTGTTCGGTGCTTTCTAATTCTAAAATTCTACACCAGAAGATCGTTCTGAAATACGTTCTCGAGGACAGAAAGTAGCCGAATTACAAGTACTTGCTGGAAGCCGTGCTCGAAAATTACCGCGCCAGACTCTACTGGGACCGGGCCATCATGACAGATAGGATTATTTTTGCAAATAGGCCTGATATTGTGCTGATGGACCGGGCACCGTCAAGGATATTTTTGGTCGTCATTACCATTCCTTATAACGAGAATCTCGTGAAAGCCGAAACACATAATCGAACAAAATATCTGGACCTGGCTCACGAGGTAACCGCCATGTGAGGTGGGCCGTCGACCGAAATTATACCTGTAGTCGTTTCTTCAAACGGGTTAATCCCAGTCAGTCTCCCGGGTTATCTGCGACGACTGGGACTCCGAGACGGACCGCTCCAAGTTTAAATGCAGAAAGTGGTGCTACTCGATACCGTTCGCATTATCCACCGGTTTCTTTCGCTTTCCCCCTAACCCATGGTCTCCCCTTGGATCTCCCCTGCCGAGGGCTTTTATCTGGTTGCATTTTTATTTATTTATGTATTTTCATGTATTTATTTTATTATATTGATATTTACGTATGTTTATCATTTTTAATTAGAATTATATATTTATAGAACCCAACCAGATAAGAAAACTATATGGATACCCCCTAATAGTAATATAAAATAATCTATGTCGAAAGAATTAAATTATTATTAGAATTAATTAGCTTCAAAGAAGACTAGCAATCTGCGCAGGACAGGATCAGGGCAATATATCCCAAGTGTATGCGCAAGCACAGGCACTCTCTATTCCGACCGGAAAGATCTCTATACCAACGGCTATATGTTCTTTCCGAGGCACGGGAGTTAGACATCGCCAACTTTCTGACTCCGGCCAGATATTGAGAATTTGTTGACAGTAAAACTCAACAACTAATTTTTTAGGCCCGACCCGGGATTTAAAACCAAGAATTAGTGAAAAGAGGTAAAATAAGACTTATGTATAGGTAGTACTAGATCGGCAATTTAGAACGAAAACTGTATTACACAGAATCGCGCGAGCGCGCCACACGTTACAGAGAAGTGACTGTGTGTTACTTAGTGCCAGTCTAGTTGTATATGAAATCTTGAAAGTCTTTAAAGTAAAATGTAACTTATTGATAATACAATAAATGTCAAATTTCGAGAAGACTATGGCGCCGTGACTAGGAACTTATTAAACCATAGCTTAAACCGGAAACTGTCAATTAATTCCGTTTTGTGTTTATAGAGAAAGGGGACGAAAGTTTCCCGAGGAAACGCTTCGTATTGGCAAGCACAAAGTAGTCTGTCCCTTCATTTAATTTAGAGTAATACTTGTAGCTAAAGATTTTGTTTTAATCTGAATTAAATGTTCACAACTAGGTTCATGATTTTTTTTATTTTTAGCACACATTAAACACCAAAAATATTCCCTTATTCATTCATGATAGTCTATCAAAGTGAGAATACGTGGTAGAGCCACGCTGCAGCTAAATTATGGATGTGGTACGAAAGGGTCGGCTTGTCCGGGGAATAATCACGCTCTCACAGAATATCAGTGTAAAACAGCAGCTTGACGCTGCTGTGTTTTGTATGGTGAGTGTAGAAAACCGTATATCCGTTTTACTGGAATCGAGGCATTCCATCTTAGTCCTCAGGGATGACAACGCATCTGCATTTAGATTCTTAATCGAGGTTAAATGTACTTACCATCAGGTGGTCTGTATGCTCGCTTGTCATCCTAATTCTATAAAAAAAAGAATAGAACTCTTAGATGTAACTGCTACTATAAGGGATGATTGAATAATTTTTTTATTCAATGCAGATCATTGCTTAATACTTATTGAAAGTATTTTTTTATTTACCACTTATTAAGAGACACTTTCATAGCTGAGGATTGGTAAACGCAATTTTTATTTTTTTATTGATATAAGGAAAACGCTGCTGCCCATCTCCTATTCTCCTATCTTCTCTCTTGTTCTTCTCCATTGTTTCCCTCCGTCGTCTCTCACGACACCCAAGGAATGATGTGGGACTATGAATATTCTTACACCACCACTACACGGATCACCACAAATACCACAAAATGTCTGATGGTAGAAAATTATTTAGAACAATGGAACGATCATATAAATAATTGACAAATTATAAAAAAATGAACGACGATACTACAAGACGGGCTCGAAGCCTTGTCAATATTTGTATATAAAGGCGATATGCTAAGAAAATTAAACTTGACATTGTTATTAGCGAATTCGCCGTCTAGAAATTTAGAAGTCGCGTTTTCATAAATAACAAAATGGTATAAGCCTATTAAATATGAACAATACCGAGAAGTTGACTTTTGACATTTTAACAAGTAAGAAAATTTAGTTAATAAATTGTCTTATTCTCTATCGACTGTATCTGTATACTATTGACTAAATCTGTATAGATTTTATTAATACCATAATAAAAATAACAAGTGGTAAATTTAAAAATATGTACCACCAACCATATTATAAATAAAATGAGAACATAATCAATGTAGTCGAAGTTAATTAAATACGCACTATGAAAGATAACTCAAAAACTACTGATCACATCTTCACCAAATTTATATGGGACCACACGAGTAGCAACAGCTTTCGAATAAAACATCGAAACTGAAAAAACCGTATTCCTAGAAAGAAGTTTTGACTTAGCATAAATACGAGTAAAACTATGCAGTTGAATTGAGTATCTCTTTTTTCGTAGTCGGTCTACTTAAACTCCTGTGTGTCGCGTTTTAAATGCAATACTCCATACAAAGTGACTGACACAATTTTTTTTTTATTTACATTAATATTTTATAAAATCATCTATTAATATGACTACTACGTAATACTACTAATTGGAAATAAACATTCGGTACTCAAAAAACGTGCTCGGCGGTGAAGGAAAACATTTTGAGGAAACCTGTATGTCTGAGGAATAAGGTAAAAAAAATGTATGTCTGAAAAATAAAAAAATTAATTCGAAGACATGTGAAGTTCAGACAGTGTGAGAACACGCATTGGGGCAGCGTGGCGGACACTTCCTTGCCCTAAAAACCCTCTCAGAAATGAGTGAAGGCCAGTGCCCAGCAGTGGGACGTATATAGGCTGTAACTCTACTTTTTACTTTACTTTTACTCAAAAAAAAAAACAACAAAATTTTTGAACGAAATAAATAAATCAATGGAAAACTATAGAATTTGAAATAATACGTACCCGTACAAATAAATTATAAAATATCCGTGCTATAAGCTTCTATTCCGTTCACCTGTTATACTTTATTTTTATCTAGACGGTAAAGAAACCATCAAGTATAGTCGTACTTCTCGCGGTATAGTGCCAAGAAAGTATGCGTTTCCTCGCTGAACGGCTATACTTAGAATTTTAGCGAAATGAACCAGTACTCTCATCACCAACAGCGATGACCAGTTGCGAATACAGTTCGTTTAGAAACTTCTCCACACGTGGACCCCACGGACTGATAGTCTGTATAAAAACGGCACGATATACGTCTTTCTGTCATCTCTCAGAGACTCATATTTGCGCCACTAAGTTTAGCTGTCTCTGATGCCAGCTATAAACGAGGTATCCTTGAGATAAGAGGCTGGCAAAGTATCTACGCTAGTGGCGTCCCACACTGGGGCTTTACTTCTCTCCCAAGAAACCAAGGTAAGAGCTTCATATTCTAAGAAAAAACATGATGACTGATCTCGTTGTGATAATACGTACTTTTTTAAGATCAATACTAGTTTACTCGTGGAAAGGCGTATTGCTTATATACCACAAAATAGTTTTAATCCGAAAATGGAAAAATAAAACCTATACAATATCCTAACAAAACTATAAAGAATGTAAAAACGGATGTCTTGATATAAAATATACATGCTTCCAAATTTATAACAAAATAAGGGTAAAGTATCCAATAAAGAACAGAGTAACATTCTGTAACCTTTTTATCGTAATTCAATTTATGTCGGCTGGGTGTTGCGGAAGAACATTTTAATATTTATTCCTATATGTGACAAATATAAACCATATAATTTTTACGACATTTGTAGTGTGATTTACGAGTCGTAACCGTGATTGATGATCATGAGGTTTAGGGTTCTAATCTCGTGTCAGACCAAAATCATTTAGTAGTGTACTTTTCTGTCAGTCAGAAAGTTGTCAGTGTTTCGGAAAGCACGTGAAGCCGTTGGTCCTGCACCTGATCACTCTCCATTGAAGTTGGATTACCAACATGTCAGATCATGAGAGTGATAGAATAGAGAGTGCTCCTGTGTTTGCGCGTACACTCGGTCACTATAATCAAGTCCTGCGCAGATGGCTAGTCAACGTTGAGACTGACCGCCTGAACGAAATTCGGTCTGGAGGATATTACTTATATTTTAATGTTACTGTTATCTCAGTCAATATTGAGATCGAAACATGTTTTTTTAAACAAGCATTAAATGACAGGAAAATACGTAACTATATACAGTTGCAACATGAATTCGGAAAGAAACTGCGGAGCATTCATAGGGGTTTCTTTTTTTGTGATTTTTTTCAGCCGGCCGGCCAGTTTTTTTTTTTGGCCGGATTTGGAAAATTT